CCATTCGGTCACGACGGCTGCGCCTCGCGCGACCACCACGGCGCGGGTGCCGAGTGCGCCAGACCGGGGGTTGGGGTCAGCAAACCCTCGACTCTGGAGCTGCATGTGGCTCTTTAAAGACCACCGACTTGTATCACGTGCATTGCGGCTTTTGAATTTTTTGTTACCGAATTGGAAACAAAAAAAATGGCTCCGTTTTTGGTTATTCTGGTTGCAGACCCCTGCGCCAGACCATTCCCTGAGCGGCGGCGATCATCGTCACGCGAGCTCTGTGATCATCGTCACGCGAGCTGTGCGATCATCGTCACGCGAACTCTGTGATCATCGTCACGCGAGCTGTGCGATCATCGTCACGCGAGCTCTGTGATCATCGTCACGCGAGCTCTGTGATCATCGTCACGCGAGCTGTGATCGTCACGCGAGCTCTGTGATCGTCACGCGAGCTCTGTGATCATCGTCACGCGAGCTGTGATCATCGTCACGCGAGCTCTGTGATCATCGTCACGCGAACTCTGTGATCGTCGTCAAGCGAACTCTGCGATCATCGTCACACGAGCTCTGTGATCGTCGTCACGCGAACTCTGCGATCATCGTCACACGAGCTCTGCGATCGTCACACGAGCTCTGCGATCATCGTCACGCGAGCTCTGCGATCATCATCACGCGAGCTCTGTGATCATCGTCACGCGAGCTCTGTGATCGTCGCGCGAGCTCTGTGATCGTCATGCGAGCTCTGCGATCGTCACGCGAGCTCTGTGATCATCGTCACGCGAGCTCTGTGATCGTCACGCGAGCTCTGTGATCATCGTCACGCGAGCTCTGTGATCATCGTCATGCGAGCTCTGTGATCGTCACGCGAACTCTGCGATCATCATCACGCGAGCTCTGCGATCATCGTCACGCGAGCTCTGTGATCATCGTCACGCGAGCTCTGTGATCGTCACGCGAACTCTGTGATCATCATCACACGAGCTCTGTGATCATCGTCACGCGAGCTCTGTGATCATCGTCACGCGAACTCTGTGATCATCATCACACAAGCTCTGTGATCATCGTCATGTGAGCTCTGTGATCATCGTCACTCGAGCTCTGTGATCATCGTCACGCGAACTCTGTGATCGTCACACGAGCTCTGTGATCATCGTCACGCGAGCTCTGCGATCATCATCACGTGAGCTCTGTGATCATCGTCACGCGAGCTCTGTGATCATCATCACGCGAACTCTGTGATCATCATCACGTGAGCTCTGTGATCATCGTCACGCGAACTCTGTGATCATCGTCACGTGAGCTCTGTGATCGTCACGCGAACTGTGATCATCGTCACACGAGCTCTGTGATCATCGTCACGTGAGCTCTGCGATCATCGTCACGCGAGCTCTGTGATCGTCGTCACGCGAACTCTGTGATCGTCACACGAACTCTGTGATCATCGTCACACGAGCTCTGCGATCATCGTCACGCGAACTCTGCGATCATCATCACGCGAGCTCTGCGATCGTCACGCGAACTCTGCGATCATCATCACGCGAGCTCTGCGATCATCGTCATGCGAACTCTGTGATCGTCACACGAGCTCTGTGATCATCATCACGTGAGCTCTGCGATCGTCACGCGAACTCTGTGATCATCGTCACGCGAGCTCTGTGATCGTCACGCGAGCTCTGCGATCGTCACGCGAGCTCTGTGATCATCGTCAGACGAGCTCTGTGATCATCGTCACGCGAGCTCTGTGATCATCATCACGCGAGCTCTGTGATCGTCACGCGAACTCTGTGATCATCGTCACGCGAGCTCTGTGATCATCGTCACGCGAGCTCTGTGATCATCGTCACGCGAGCTCTGTGATCATCGTCACGCGAGCTCTGCGATCATCGTCACGCGAGCTCTGCGATCGTCACGCGAGCTCTGCGATCATCGTCACGCGAGCTCTGCGATCATCGTCACGCGAACTCTGCGATCATCGTCACTCGAGCTCTGCGATCATCGTCACACGAGCTCTGTGATCATCGTCACGCGAGCTCTGTGATCATCATCACGCGAGCTCTGTGATCATCGTCACGCGAGCTCTGTGATCGTCACGTGAGCTCTGTGATCATCGTCACGCGAGCTCTGTGATCATCGTCACTCGAGCTCTGTGATCGTCACTCGAGCTGTGATCATCGTCACGCGAGCTGTGATCATCGTCACGCGAGCTGTGATCATCGTCATGCGAGCTCTGTGATCATCGTCACGCGAGCTCTGTGATCATCGTCACGCGAGCTCTGTGATCATCGTCACGCGAGCTCTGTGATCATCGTCACGCGAGCTCTGTGATCATCGTCACGCGAGCTCTGCTGATCGTCACGCGAGCTCTGCGATCGTCACGCGAGCTCTGATAGAGCCTGCGATCATCGTCACGCGAGCTCTGCGATCATCGTCACGCGAACTCTGCGATCATCGTCACTCGAGCTCTGCGATCATCGTCACACGAGCTCTGTGATCATCGTCACGCGAGCTCTGTGATCATCATCACGCGAGCTCTGTGATCATCGTCACGCGAGCTCTGTGATCGTCACGTGAGCTCTGTGATCATCGTCACGCGAGCTCTGTGATCGTCACTCGAGCTCTGTGATCATCGTCACTCGAGCTCTGTGATCATCGTCACGCGAGCTGTGATCATCGTCACGCGAGCTGTGATCATCGTCATGCGAGCTCTGTGATCATCGTCACGCGAGCCTCTGGCGATCATCGTCACGCGAGCTCTGCGATCATTGTCACGCGAACTCTGTGATCATCGCTACGCGAGCTCTGCGATCATCGTCACGCGAGCTCTGCGATCATCGTCACGCGAGCTCTGCGATCATCGTCACGCGAGCTCTGCGGTGAACGTGAACACCTGAAAAGAGTCCGGAGGAAAACCGAACGTCTCTTTTTGCCACCACCGTCCGGAACGCCATCGTCCCCCCCCTCTGCACCGGCTGCGGCAGCAGCAGCAGCGCTCAAGTCTCCCCCGGGGACAAGACGCCATCCTTCGCCTGGCTTTCGAGCGACGCCGACCGTCAGGATCATGGTCATCTTTGTCCGTGAAACGCCGTGCACGTTATTGCAAGATTATTATTATCATCATCATATTATTTATCATTCACCATTAAAGTTCGGGGCTTACACACCAAAAACACGCATGCAGATTCAAATGTAACCTTTTTTTCTTTTAACGCTCCGCCAATGGAGAAATCGCAATGGCTGAAGGTGCCATATGTCACGCGTGCGCACACAAAGCGGTCGTCCGAGAGTGTGCGTGATAAAATAAAATACTGGGAAAATACAACACATGCTGACCAAAAACAAAACCTCCTGAGGACTTCAAACAAAAACCAAGCTAATCAACCGAATTTAAAATCTCTCGCCTGTGGCCCACGCTAGCACATTGCGTTCCCTTTGCGTATCTTTTCAAGAGCAAAACGCACGAGGTATACAGTACAATGTTGCATATCCGCCCTGACCAGTCATTTTCAACTGGACAAAGACCCACCGTATAGCTTCAACAGACTGTGGGAAAGTCGGTTAGCGAGCACCTATGAAGGTTACCACGGCACACGAGGGGATGGATGGCCAGCACCACACGCTCGGCCGCCTTTGCCGCACCAGGTACTCATTTGAGACCGAGTCGACCTAGGTGAGGACCCAGGACCAGTTCGGATATTCGTGACTGACGTTGGCCGTGAGCGGGAATCGAGCCCGGGTCGCCAGTTCGTAGCGCCGCACTAACCACTGCGACGCCACCGCCGCCTATGCACGTGCACACAACAGTGCGAGGTTCGTGCGCGGTGTTTTAACGATACATTTCTGTGGATGTTCCCGTAATCGACCGGTTCACATAGCGGCCTATACCCTGGTCCCCCCCCCCCCTCCCCCCCCCCCCCCCCCCCCCCCCCCCCCCCCCCCCCCCCCCCCCCCCCCCCCCCCCCCCCCCCCCCCCCCCCCCACCCCCCCCCCCCCCCCCCCCCCCCCCCCCCCCCCCCCCCCCCCCCCCCCCCCCCCCCCCCCCCCCCCCCCCCCCGTGCGAGTCGGATATGCGACATTGTGCTGCGTTCACGAAACTGAACCAAAGCCACAATCAGCAATTGCTGATACGAAACTACCCTAGGGGTGCATCGATTCAGTACTCCCCCTCCCGCGAAAACTCGCGCATGAATTGTTGCAATTCAGGGTCACGATTCGACTCGAGAATCAACTCTTGTGTATATATTATAAATATTTTAAATTTGTTTTGGCGAATGTAGCGGCCTCCAGGGGGTGGTCGGTGGCGATCACGTGAACCCGATTATACGCAACAACGTACGACAAGGGCAGACCGTTGTTTTCTTGCGCGCGCGATTCCACGCCGCGTGAAAATCGCGAGCATAAAAAAAGACCGGTACCGATCGATGCGCCGTCCACATCCCCCACCCCCCACACCGTGAGGCAAAAGGGGATAATTTTTCCTCCAAGACCTCAAACAAGAGCCCCTCCTCCCCCATAGATCTTTTTCGTTTTAGTCGCGAATTAATAAGAGCTACATCCCCCCCCCCCCCGCCAATTGGCATTCTGCCCCCCCCCCCCCCGGGGCATACAGCCCCAGGCCTCCAGGAAACCCTGGGTTGGCCCTGCCTGCCACTCGAGGGTTGGCTTATTCCTACGCGGCTAGCGGAGGACTGAATGGATTTGCCCCCTGCCATCCACAATTACCGTTCACACACAACAACAAGCGCACACAATGTATATATTACATTTACATATAATGTGTATATATACTTTAGAAAATAAAATGGTTTCACTCGATTACTTTACAGCCTCGCCGTCCATAAAACGGTAAAAGCGTTACCATTTTACACACGGCGTGAAAAAATATTTGGCTGTAAAAGATAAAAATCATATCAACACAGGAGCACCGATGTCTTGCAGCAGGCGGAAACGCACGATTCATCAAATCACACGATGCTTCGGGGTTCACTATTACATGAGATTTGTTATGTTTCCCTAGCGGTGCACACAGAATCCGTGAGCGGCTGCGTTGGCTCCCGTGAACTTGGTGCAACGGCTGTGGACGGCCCGGTCCTCATAGGAAACGTAAAGATTCAACGATAAACGTAACACACTCGTGCGCACGCGCGAGTGCCTATGAATTGGGAGATTGGCAACGGAGCCGGCTCGTGAGAGCGAGACGAAAGATTTGTTGCGCAGCTGGACCGCGAGATATAGAGCGTGCGTAGACTTGGGGCGGCCTTCACCTGGCAGTGGATCGACCACGACTCACGACGATTCGCATGCACCAGTGAAGGCAAACTAAAAGGGCTTTGCGAGTTGCATCGTGACGACTGTTATAATTGAAATGCATTGAGGACGGACGGTGGTGGTGGGTGGGGGGATGAATGAAGACATGGGGGGGCTCGCGACGGGCTGGGCTCGGCCCGGATTGGCCGCTCGTGCAGAACACACTGGACAGGGGGGGGGGGGGGGTTAACTCTCAAACATTGCTACCGAGACACTCCACTGCCATAGTAATAACCAGGCACGTGATGATTGATTTGGCCCCACCACCACCCACTCCCCCCCCCCCCCCCCCATGGAATTGTCTGGATTCATGGGTCACAAATTGAGAAAATGATTGGTTATTTTTCTCAGCATTTTTTTTGTCTTACCATCAAACTGCCATCGTTTTATTCGTTTAGCTCCGTGGCGGGCTCTGTATACATTCAGCCCCTCCCCCACCCCCCATGGGAAAGATTTCGATGAATATCAGCGCGTCGCATTTGGGTTCTAAAATCGATTTTTTTTTCGTTCGAATAGAAAAAAAAGCTACTGGCGAATGCCGTTGCCTTCTAGTGGTTACAGGGGGTGACGAGAAACCGCGATTACCTACAACGCGTACACGTTGAGGAGCACTGGCTCTAGCACACACACACACACGCAGACTTCAACGCATTACACGAGCAAACAAACCGACAATAAAGCGCAGCGTCGCTACGGTCGAAATTAGCCAACGGGATAATTTGCTCGAAGAAATGCCGCTAATTATCTGTGGGGGTTTTTTTTTTTTACCCGCACCCCCCCACAAGCGATTCAACGCGTGGATGGCGAGAACCTGAGAGTCAACCTGAATTGGGAAACCACGAAAGTGCCTGGCGAGAGAGCTTCACGCCAACCATTCAACCATGATTATAAAGTGATAACAATATTATAATAATCAGCACAAACTTAAGAAACCCAGTGACCAGCTTGGTGAAGTATGGTCAAACATACTTCCCTCTCCCCCCACCGCCAGTGACACTGTAGTGGTGGTGGGGGGAGCAGGGTGGGGAACTCCTTCATCAGTAGTAGTTTGACAATGAGGGGTACACATACATTCGAATTACTTTATGACAAATTATAACTTAATAATAATAATAATGATATCCATGAGGTTTATGTGAAGGGCAGCAGCGCCTCGGTAAAAGCCGCCCGGCTGCCCGCGTGACACAACTCCCTCCAACGTCCAAATCCAGCGTCTCCGCTTGACATCTAAACGAGGTTGGGAGGGAGGTGAGGGAGGTGGGGGGGGTGGGGGGGGCGGGCACAGCTATCCGCCACCGCCGTGTCCTCCGGTCATGCCGAATTTCATTTTCGGCACGAGGTCCGACGTTTCGCCCTCTGGCCGCTTCCACAGGAAAACAAGAAAAAAAACCAACTCGGTTCTGCCACACGTGCCGTCGCTCGGCAGCTAATTATCGGGAACCGAACGCGGAACGGCGCGCAACCCGGGACGCGCGGCGGGAGAGTGGCGCCTTAAGCGGAGTCAACTCCGAAAACCAACGCGGGTCGCGGCAGTGCAGGGGTGGGCGTGCGTGCGGGCGGGCGGGTGTGCGGGTGTGCGGGCGGGCGTGCGGGCGGGCGTGCGGGGTGCTGCTGCTGCTGCTGTGGCGGCTGGCACACGGTGCTCAGGCACAGTTGTTCTTGTACTTCTCCTTGCCGTGGTTGTTGATCACGCAGATGTGCTGTGGAAAAACGCAAGCAGGACACAAAAGTGAGCGCGCAAACAGCCGTCCGAGGAAGTCAACAGGAAGCTCAATAAAAGTTGCTGCAAGACAAAACAGCCACGCGCGCATGCGGGCACACACACAAACGACAAAAATCGCCCCCCATCCCCTTTCCCCCCATAGCCTTTCAACTGACTGTTGGGACAAGTGCCGTTCCCGAACACTTATTAAGGCCGGCATGGCATACGAGGGGGTGGGTGGTCAACAGCACACCCGGCCGGCCGCCTTGTCTCCCAAGTGCCAATGTTTACTCATCGCACCAGGTACTCATTTCAGGCCGAGTCGACCCAGCGGAGGCCCATGACCCGTCAGATAATCCTCACCGACGTTGGCCGTGAGTGGGATTCGAATTCTGGTCGCCGGGTACGTAGCCCAACGCGCTAATCGCTGTGCCACCGTACAAAAACAAAGACCCCCCCTTATAGCCTTAACAGACTGACAGGGTAAGTGCTGTCGGCACACGATGGGGGGTTGGGTGGGCGGCCAGCACCACGCCCGGCCGCCTTTGTCTCCCTAGTGGCAATATGGTGATGTTTACACATCTATTTAGGCCGAGTCAACCCAGTCGAGACCCAAGACCGGCTCTGCTATCACTCGCCACTTGTGTTAGCCACGCACAGGCGTAGACAGGAAGGTGTTGGCTGACTCAGGGGTCAGATCCGGCACACTACTGAGGTTTCAGTTTCCCATTATTAAACCGGATTCTCGAGGGGAGCGAGCTGATAGGTTGCCACCATATGACCCAGAGCCGTTGGTGCGAGTGATACAACCTCACTGCCATTGTATTTAGAGTATTTCGTTTAGAGTATTACGCTGCTGCCGCTTTTAATTCCCACGTGATAAGCCACTTCGTTGATTGATCAATTGTGGCCAGAGCTAGATAGCTGAGTGGGCCCTCAGCTGGTGAAATAAAACGAGTTTAGTTTTTTTTGTCTTTTAGTACACGTGTACGTCAACTCACATTGAGGTCCCGGAAGTACTCGTTGTAGTCCAGCGCGTATCCCACAACAAACTCGTCCGGGATTTCGAAGCCGATATCTGAAAGAAAGAAAAACGGTCAGGTGAGAGTTTACGTTAACGAGCTGCGTTGGCAAGTGGTGCAAGAGCTCAAATAATAATGATGGTGATAAAAACTCTACACGTTCGTCGACAATTAAACCGTGGCCTTAAAAGTAAAAATATTTCTAGCAGGCGACGTTTCTGGCAATGGGCGTGCGGAGAGACAGGCCAGAGAGACAGGGAGGACAAAAAGAGTTGGAGACAGCACTTTACACCACGGGGCTTGGGGAAAATAACATGTTTTTTTGTATTAGTCATGGTATTGTCTGTTACTAAGTAGCTACGAGTGCTTGTGGGTGGGTGGTTGGGTTGGTAGGGTGGGTGGGTTGGCGAGGTGAATGGGTTGGTAGTGTGGGTGGGTTTGTAGTGGGTGGGTTGGTAGGGTGGGTGGTTGGGTTGGTAGGGTGGGTGGCTTGGTTGGTAGGGTGGGTGGTTTGGTTGGTAGGGTGGGTGGTTTGGTAGGGTGGGTGGGTTGGCAGGGTGGGTGGGTTGGTAGCGTGGGTGGGTTGGCACGGTGGGTGGGTTGGTAGGGTGGTGGGTTGGCAGGGTGGTGGGTTGGCAGGGTGGGTGGGTGGGTGAATTGGCAGGGTGGGTTGGTAGGGTGGGTGGGTGCAACTGCAATCACCAACTCTCAGACGAAGCAATTGACTGGCTCAAATCACTTAGAACTAAAACTCAATTAGGCGGCGCTCTTCGTTTACCGCACGAAACAAGAGGAAATGGACAAGGAGGGGGGTGGGGGACGGGCGCTACTCACAATCCGGGCGGTATCCCACGCTGCGCGGCGTCCGCTTTACCAGCAAACTGCCGAGACAGCACAACGCGCCACAACGCGGCACCACAAGCGTCAACGCAGGTTCAGGCCCGACGAGTCGTCCACCGTGCAGCCAAAAACGCGAACCTCGACATGAACCGCGTAGCTTCATCGCCGCCTGCGACCATCGGGTCCGCATCCGAGCGAGTGGATGCACAACCAACACCGCTCATTTCCAAGTCCGTTTGCGAGTGGCACGTACGGACCACAGCGACGCGCTCAAACGGGGGCAAGTGCTGTTAGCGAGCACCTATGCAGGCCGGCATAGGTGCTCGCTACGGCACGCGAGAGCGTGGGTGGCCAGCACCACGGTTTAGAAATTCGTCACTGGTGTTGGCAGCGAACAGGAATCGAACTTGGGTTGCCGGGTTCGTAGCAGTGTGCAAACCACTGCGCCACCGTTCCCCACCTGACACACACACACACGCGCGTGCACCAACCTGGCCACCTTCACCATGTTGGGCTTGTAGTCCTTCAGCATGCTCAACAACGTCTGCATGGTCCTGCCTGTGTCAATGATGTCCTGCAAAAACACAGAACAGACACACCTCAAAAAATTCTGGGCTGCAACAACGTTTAATTCTACGTACAGTGTTGTCGTTCGTGCAAACTGCAGCTCACAATCACCGAGGAACCAGAGAAACGAGCTGGATGGTGGCAGCCAAGCGGTGAGCCAACGCTACCAACAACCGCCGAACTCTGCGGTCCTCTCTACCGTAGACTCTCGATTACCCACGCTAGTGATGGGGAGGATGGGCGCAGAATAACGGATAAGCCAAATATATCAATTTTCTGCGGATCTCTATGCCGAAAACCACTAATATAGGCATAAATTATGTTTAAGTTGAGAAAACTGAGTTGCTCAGTGATAACACTTTCCTGCTCCCACGCAGAAGACTCGGCACTCTAAGTGGATAGCAGCAGAGCCACGCCAATCAACGTCAATCAAACCCCGCACACTGGTGTAAAGATATGCCATTACTGTACTGTAGAGGTGATCACGTAGATTTCCGATTCACCAGAGCAACACGTTTGTTCGGTTTAAGCACGTCACTTGTCATAAACATTCCAAGAATAGCAATGTACAATTGTTTGTAGATTATTAATTTGGCCTTTAGGGAATAATCCACGAGTTAGGTATTTATGTCAAAATCTCAGGTGTGCGGTTAATCCGCAAATCGGATAAACCGCACGTGAATAACCGAGAGTCCCTAATGTATATTCAGAGGTTTTTCTGCCAATTAGTATTGACCCAAGTGGAAGGAAATCGGAGTGCCTGGAGAAAACCCACGCGTGCCAAGGGGCAACATCTCGTCCCGCCCGTCGCTGTACCGCCTTCCCTTGGCGAGCCAGGGTAGTTACGGATTCTCCTCGGCGCCCGCGGGAAAAGAAGAGTTTTGAAAAATTTGTGCGACCCACCAACCCGCTCTTGCCTCCGTAGTAGGCCTCGGCAAGGTAAGGTAAAAGTTAAAAGGTAAAAACAACAAGCCTACCTTTACCTTACCTTTTACCTTACCACAATACAATCACTCTACCCTACCTTTAACCCTTTAGCAGGTAAGGTAAAAAGCAACGAGCCTACCTTTACCCTACCTTTTACCCTTAGCCCATACAAATGACCCGATTACAGGGTAATTACTGGAATACTACACATGAAAAAGGTTTGTAACGGTAAATGCTAGGTAGAGCTCTTAATCCATATAGAATACTCTCGATTATTCCAATTTTACACGCTTTCTTTTAACGCACTCTGTCTGTTGTCGTTGTTATTGTCGTTGTCGTCGTCGTATCCTCAAATCTTGGAACTCAATTTTGACCCACTTCCTAATGTGGTATTGACTATCGACTGCAAACTTGGTATGCTTATGTCATACCGATGACAATACTATATTCTATCATAAATATATATATTTTAAATTATTTTGTATATGTTATGTTTCGGCTTGGGTCTAATTGTCCACACTCAACAGACGTTGGCTGTAATTGGCCACGGCCCCTTACGTTGTGGCAAGCTTCAGGGCCACTTCCTGGAGTCGTGGAGTTCTGCCATGACTAGTACATTTAATAAAAGCGTGTTTTTAAAAAAGTTTTTAAAAATATTACTTATTAAATGGAGGCCACGGACTGCGCCACGGAGCTTTTAGCGGTAAACAAGGTACCGTATTTACCGGGTAATACTTCAGAGCTACCTTTACCCTACCGGGTAATTCTTCCGAGCTACCTTTACCCTACCCTTTACCTTACCCCTTGGCATGTCGACACCTTTACCCTTACCCTTTTACCCGGTAAAAAGGGTAAATTACCTTACCTTGCCGAGGCCTACTCCATAGCGCTGGAGTACAGAACCACGCACGCGGCCACCGACACCCGGCTAACAGGCTGTACGACGTTAAGACTCTTCAAAGAGGTGCAAGACGGCAACATCAACTGGCTTAGACAATTTTCACCACCTAAGCTGTGCGACACGATGCAATGGCACGCACGCCCAGCGCATTGCTCCCAGCTCCATAACAGCAGCCTGACTGCTCCGCCACCAGCTACCCACAAAGAGGTTCTCAATTTTATCCACCGCATGGGGGAGGTTAGAGCCGATTCGATTCCCGGCGAGATATGCGAACCTGAGCTGGGGCTTACCGAGTTGGCGCCCTAACCGCCAGGTTTATATTACCCACCGATCGAAAACCAAACGGCACTCACCTCAACGATGAGCACATTCTGAAACGCAAAAAAATCCACACAGAATAGGTTAACAGTGCAGCTTCCGCACACTTCATGCAGTGCAGTGGTGACCAACTTTTATAAATAGTAAGCAGTGCTCAAAAACGCTGAGCTTGTAGCTTTAGCGAGAGGCAATTTCACTTATTTATTTTGCGCGGGACACCTTATGGCGGCCACAAAGGTCAAAAGGTCATCAGATGGTAATTCCTCCCGGCACCGACCGTGAAAAGTCAAAACAAATACCGCGTTATTACAGCCGTAAAACTAAAGCCTAATTAAACAGAGCAGAGCGATATACGAACCAAGGGACGATTTTGAGACGGACAAAATGAGGCACAATTTGTATAAAAATATAGGAAGCTTTATAATGCTTGCACGACAACCACAGGAATTAAGTAATCCTCGCCCGGCTAATAATGTGGGGCGCGGTATTAGCCGTGAATGACTACGCGCCTTCCGGTTCACTCACAGCGGACGTCCAAGACCTCCCGCAACGTTACTGGAAAAAAGCCAACAGCCTGCGCCGCCGCCGCAGAGATGCGGGGTGTAAATCTGGGGCTCAGCCGCTCGCTATTAAACCAGTTTCTCAAATGCAGCGAGTCGATGGTTCATGCGCTCTCATCTAAAGTATGAAAAATATTTAATTGTTGTGCAAATTTACAATTTCATACTCTCACATTAACCCCTTCCTCTGGTCTTTATACCTGATTGTATCATAAGTGGAGACATCACATTTATCCCCCCTAAGACCAAAACAGGAGGAGGATTTCTCCACAAATCTGGCTGTCGCCTGATGAGGCCAGGTTGTAATTTCCGGCGAAATATTACAAGGACTCGAATTGTAAATGTTGTGGGTTCACTCTCCAGTGTGCTGAACGAGTAACAAATTGGCATGTTTCATTTACGTGACAAACCTTACGACTTGGCTGTCGGGTGGTGGCGGGTTTAACGACACATTTATATTTATGCGATCTAACCCAAACACATTCCTGCGGAGGGAACTGGTAGGAACGTTGGGTTGCTCGGTCAATGGCCAGGGTCAACGGCGGCGTGGTGTATTTCGCAAATATGCCCGACTGTGAGGGCGGGCACAAGCCGGCGTGAGTAGGTTAAACGTTGAGTTTTATAAGGGCACCACGGAGTGAGCAGCCCCTACCCCACCCAGCCCCTCCCCACCCTCCCCACCCTCCCCACCTAGCCCCTCTCTGCACGACGGACACAATAATCCCCTGTGGGCTGGTGTAACCAGGAGGTTGCTACCAGTAAAAACTCTAATGAACTGCCATCATGTTAACAGACTTCCTGGATTTTTACTCTCTCACTTCCTGGGTCGTGTCTTGATGATGCTTGACAGTTTCAAGCGGAACGTCGCCTATCTAATGGAGATACATTTTATTGTGAGAACTGCTCAATAACTTGACGGTGAGCGAGCCGAAAGTAGTTCTGTAATGTTATCTTCCGGAGGCTGTTCCGAAACATGTTGATGTTACACTACTTTCTGCGGAGATTTCTAAACGTGAATATCTGCACGTCACGGCAACATTACACCGGTAGCCGCACAATCGTTTAAAACCAAGAGCATCGGTTACCTTTCCAGTTAATGTGCCGAAGTCATCGCCGCCAATCACCCGGATCTGTCCCGTCGACTGATCGTTCTGTACACACGCGCGACACACGCAGCCCCGTCAATTTCGTCATCGCGTGAAGCCGACTCCACCACCAGACAAATTATCGCCGTCATGTGGCGTACAAGCGTATAACGACGCACGCCGATTATTTTAGTTTGGGCTCAAACCACTGGATGAGTTCAAGTACGGTCCTCACGACCAGACGCAGCAGCGATCAGATAACGCTACATTTCACTTGGAAACTGGGTGAAGCTCGGCAACAAACGCAAGCGTCCCGACGCACGAAGACGGATCGAAGTCTCGCGCCGCACGAGTCCCCGCTCACGCACGCAGTAGCTCTTGAGTCGGATGAAGTCGACGGTGAGCGGGATGGACTGCTCCGTGTTGCGGTTGAGCGCCTTGATGAAGTCGAGGAGATCGGCGAAGAACTTGTAGCCGCCCTTGAGGACGCACAGCGCCACAATGTGGTGCCCGCCCATGTCCTTGAGGATGTCCCGCGCCAACCGCTCCGTCCTGCGGGCGCGACGAAGGGTGGGCTGAGCGCGCGACGAAGGGTGGGCTGAGCGTTGCACAAAACCCGCGACGTCCGCGATTCATAATCGGGGCGTTCGGGGAAGGCCGCGTAATGATGTCGTCGTTAAGAACCCTCCGCCACCCGACACGGCCAATCAAATGTAATTGTCACGTGGTGTGCAAGCGTTTTAACGACGTGCCAGGTCGCTCGCCGGTGAGGTGAAGAACGATTCTCACGCAACCGAATTAGTCAATTGGATCCGATGTTTCGCTCGAAACTGCGTCAAGCATCTTCGGGTCAGAAATTTTTTTTGCGTAATCATTACTTGGTCTTACGCGGAATTAAATTATGAATCACATTATTGCAGTGTGCAAGCACCACGATGAAGATTAGGGTCGTTAAGCGGTAACCGGTTTAAGCGGTAACCATTTTCAGAACCAATTCCCAGATTTTGGAAAGTCAGGATTCAGTAACTGATTCCATTGGAACGTTCCTGGGGTGAGCGGGATTCAAACTCGGATCGGCGGGTTCATAGTGCAGTGCGTTAAAACGCTGCATCGCAAGTGTGCACACACACAAGCGCGTGCAGACACACACACGTACACACGTGCACACCTGTCCATGATGAGTCCGTGTGGGATGAACACCCGGTCCAGGTCATCCATGTAGTGAGTGGGGATGCAAAACTTGCAGAGGTCGTAGCCAGGGTCAGTATCCCTAATCTGCAAACAAGATTTTAAAGCGGCGCCTTTCAATTACTGTGTTCCCGTGAGCCACACGCAACTGGAGCGCCGGCTCGCGTCGTCTCACTCCTACCCTCTCTTCCCCTGGCACCACCTCAATTCCACATTTTAAGACGACTGGACGGTCGAAACAAGTCCAGGCCGTTTGCTGGCGTCAACAATTTCCGCTTGATTATTTGGCATTTGGTCGCGAAAGCCGATGAAAACACCCCACCTTTTTTCTATTTGTGTGGAGACAAGAAACGGAGATTGCTGCTTGTCCTGTTCTGCTTGGAAGAGGCCAAAAAAATATAAACGATCGCAAAAACACGGGAACAACAAAACACGAGCACGCGGCGCCGACCGCCGCATTAACGCGTAAACGACGCGTGGCGCTAAGCGGATTGGCAGCCCGGATAAACCTGCCACGGCACGGAGCACTTTAATTTCATACGACCCCTCGACACCGCCACCACCGCCGTTAAGCGCTTAAGCGGTGCCCCATTTCATCTCGTGCCGCGTCCGTCTGTCCCCTCCCCCCCTCTCCAGCTCCCGCACCACCCACGGGAGCCGTCGACCGCTGCTCAACCCGGACGGCATCCTCCCTTGTGCGTCGCCATTTAGACCGCGGCGCGGCACAAATTATTTTCCGCAGGTGCTTTCGATCCCTCGCTAGGGAGACAGTGTGTATAATATTATATCACCACGAAGAACAGTAAGTATAGACAAGCAGAGCACTGGTGCATACAAAGTCCACATTAAATGTGCGCAACAATGGGGCTTGTAATGTACACTGTACAGCCCCCTATCAGCCACTGCTGGATAAAGACCTATCCGTGACGTTCCGTCACGTGGAGTTGTATTACAATACCTCACCATTCTGGCATGTAGAGGATGGTAAAAGGGGGGGGGGGGGACGTTGGGGGGGAGACTGCATTTAACCATGGATTGACCATAGCTGATGAATATGCTGTTTAATGGGAGCCCCCAAGTTTAATCTTCCTTTAAAATATATCCTGAAGCGGAAGATTAGTGCTGAATACAAATCCATTTTGCCAATGCGATTTATAACTTTGATCCTTACCCGTGCATCGATAGTTCAATTTCCAAGTGCCATTTTACCGAGACACTGCGTGTTGGCTTGGTGTGGTCTGGGACTGTATTTGTTGTTGTTTTGCTGACTTACCCAAGCTTGCATTAAGTTATATAAAAAATACGAATTTATTCCTTTATTTTTATTTTGTTATTTGCTTACCATTTTCTCTATTCTGCACTCCCATCGTCGTTTTTTTATTGTGTGTAACTTGCTGACCCGCCCTTACTGGGCATGATAGTTCATCGGATTCCTCCAGTCTAAATAAAGATTCTGATTATCTAGGAAACGATAAAAGAGGGAGAATATTTTAAATAGAGAGACAAGAGATGGACAGGCAGAGATAGAAAAGAGGAGCTTGAAAGATGGTGTAACGCCTCTTGTCACATCTGGGGAGGAGCACCCAGTTCCCACCTCACCAGATTGACTCCTCCACTGGAGGTCACAATGCCACACTCACCCACTCAATAACTCGCTCACACTCACTCACCCGCTCACCCAACCACCACAATGCAGGTCACCTCACTTGTCTTTCTGCTTCTTCCCTCGCACTACTCCACTTTGGAATTCTCTCCCATCGTCTCAATGCCCAGGCACTTGTAATAATACATTTACTTCAATTAAAAAAGACGTGATAGCTTATCCCTATTACAACTGTGACAGTGCTGCTTGTTGCTGGGTGGTTGACTTTTTAGGAACATCGCTCATCAACTCTGCAAGTTTATTTGCGACACAAATACAACATGTTAAGTGCTGTACACAGATGCCCCTTTTAAATGTTGTGCCCAAACACCACCAACACTCCCCCACCCCAAAACCCTTCCCTTCCCCCCTTCCTCACAGGGTCCCCAAACAGACTCCTATGTGGGCCCCTACCAAACCACCCAGTCAAGATCGCAAACGAAAAACCTTCCTACAACGCACGAGCGATCCCTTGCGACAGATCCCCCAAGGTGTTCTCAAGCGTGGTTATCCGTTGCATTAGATTTGGCCATAGCCTGAGAGCCTGCTAATTTATGAGTCATCCATTGCACTCGATTGTGAAAGTCTAAGGGGCACTAAATCCGCAGTCGGGTACCACGTGAGAATGAAAGGATGCCTCCATCTTACACCCAAGTGCAGATGGATGGGCCTGGCATTGGCCACGTGACATCCGATACAGAGTTCGGTGAAAACTGCTGAGGTTAAAACAAGAGCCTCATGGCTGAGCCAGCATTTGAACCTCCTGGATTTATACTCCCTTGGTGATGGCAGTCGTGGAGCATATCAGAACACACGGACGCCGTGGATGGTTCATGCACACACGGAGACTCAAGGACGCTCCACAAAAAGTGTGAAAGTGGCACACGACTTCTAACCGTGGATCACTTGAGTGAATATCTGCCCCCCCCCCCCGACATCACCTTGTTCACTGAACTCACTATTCGTAGCGGTGCACATGACGTTTAGTCTCAACCTGCGCATGTTCTTCCATCCACGTGTTCCTCTTTCCAGCTCGCAGCGCAGTTTCAATGACGTACATCCCCACGTCGTGGTGTTATGTGACAAATATAAAAAAAACAACATCAACCTTCCGGGGCCAACAATTTCAGTGCGATCTTGTGAAGGAGGAATTTCCACCATCGCAACTAGGGCCATCAACAGCCGCGCGGGACACTAAATGACTCGTGAACGGTAAAAGCTGGCGTGGGCGAGGGCAGGACGCGTCGCTCGGAGGGTTGATGTCCGGTGGTGGAGCGCAACGACGGACGTAGCGGCAGCCAAAAAGAGCGAATTAACCAGAGAGGTCCTGCGCAGCGAAGGTGCGGAGCGACGAGATCTGATCACGTGCAGGACAGCCAGACGGCACATCGCAAGAGAGAGGGTGACGACTTGGTCAGACCTTCGCCCAGCAGTGGACAAATCATAGCCCTGATCGGGACTTTGCCACAGACTCGTAACCAACTGTTTACACGTCTACTGAGTACATGAATTGGGGTGGGGTCACAGAACGTGAGAATTTCAATGGAATATTACAAAAGCGCCTCAAACTTTTATGTTTTTTTAATGGGGTGGGGTCACAGAACGTGAGAATTTCAATGGAATATTACAAAAGCGCCTCAAACTTTTATGTTTTTTTAATGGATATCTTTACATTGGGCGTTTATTATCAGCAGGCGATTCATATCGGTTTTAAAGGTTACCGACCTCAAAGCACTGACAAGGTGATTGTGGCAGGCTTGTTTACCCCATTATCCAACCGCTTCGTGAAATGCCAAATCATAAACAGTGAGGGGTCACCAGACGTAAAGCAAATATTAGCTCGAGTCTGGTCCTATGATATGGCAGGATATGGAATGTAGCCATGGTTCAAGTAAACAAACTTATCTTGTGGTTGTTGTGGAGAATTATGGATACAACAAATTCAGATTGCATCTCCACATGTAGATTTTTTTTTAATGTTCTTAATTCATACCTGTCAATCCCTTATCAGTGCCTACCTTATTAAGACTAATTCAGACTTTATTGGTCACCGAGACAACTCAAAGACAATGCACCATCAGAGTATGAGGTGCACTGTCTTTGAGTTGTGCGCCTTTTGGCATCATCTGGTCCAACCCATGTGAGACTAGGCTCTAAGGAAAGCTGTCTCGGGTGTGGACCAATAAACTTCAAGGACAATGCATACATTATCAGTTATGTTTTTGTTTGCATTTTGACTGCAGGTATTGTGGTCTATGCAAACATGACTCCTTGTAAAAAAAAGGTGTCAGTTTTGTTGCCAGATTGAAGGGTAAAAAAACCATTATATTTTTTACTGGCAAATGAGGTACCAATGGTACAAATAGATGACATTTATTTTTTGCCCGTATTGAAACGGCTGTATGCCGTATGGACCTAAAAACGCAATTTCCCTCTACAAGACTACGGGTAAACCGTATGGGTTGACAGGTATGTTAATTCCACCGACCTATTGGTGGCTAACCATTTTCTGTGCAGAAACAAAGACGGAAGATTGGCTGGTAACGGTTGTAAACCCGGAACGACGTTAGACGAACGTGGGCCATGAACGCGCGAGACTTGACCCCTCCTCCTCCTCGCCATATTTGTCTCTCCCAGATAAGTTCGTTCGTTTCTCAAGCCGCCTGTTCTGGTGAGGGCCGCGGCGGCGGCAGCGTGTTGAGTAGTGGTGGTCCAGACCTCCCTTTCCCTGGCGAAACAGCCTCTAGCTCTTCCTGGAGAATTCCCAGGCGTTCCCAGGCCAGCCGAGCGACGTAGTCCCGCCAGCGTGTCCTGGGATGGCCTCAGGGTCTTCTCCCAGATAAGACATTTAATAAATAAAACAAATTGGGTTGAGGGGTTGACTCAGCCCATTATCTCTCCTTCCAGGGTCGATCAAATATGCCACTGCTTTGTGCGTGTGTAGGGGGTGAGTCGCAGGCGGGTGTTGTCCTTATGGGGAGACTCACCCCTTTACCATAGGAATGTGGAATTATCATCACGAGCCTCTTAAAGGGCTGTGAACGGAACATAAGCACCAACGCCCCAACCGATCCTTATATAAGGAGGTACTGTAACCCCTTGACTTTTTTTTATTTACCCCAACACAGACCGATCGTTGAGCGTCCCTTGTGGAGAAAACGACAAAAAATAAGCAGACGGAGACGCCCCGTTCCCCAGCGTCTGTGTCTCCCGTCGGCCACACAATGCATGCCTTTCATGGGGAGGGCATCTCAAATCAGCAGCGTTTGTTAAGACGCGTGGCGGCGGCAACAACGCCTCCCTCACCCCCTCCTCTCCTCTGGACCGGTTTCGACATTCGGCTTCTCATCAAGCAGTGCGCCTGGTGAACTGCCCAGGCAGGTGGCGGCATTTCAAGAAAAGGGGAGCGAAACATGGCGTAATCGCCTGACGAAGCTGGTGGCGTTATCACATAGCTGTCAACCAATTCGGTTTAACCCATATTCTTGAAGAGAAATTGAGTTTTCAGATCCATGCGGCGTACAGCCGTTTCAATGCGGGCATTTATTTTTTATTTTTCTGTCTATTTGTTTGTATTTCTCCCTTGTGATGGGACTTTGTCGGATGAACGTTAAGATTTATTATGGCCACAGGGTGACCAAAAAGGTCTGAGTTGGTCTGTAATAAGGTAGGCACTGGTAAGGGGTTGACAGGTATGCAGTGGTGAGTGTACTAGTGGTGAGTGTAGTGGTGAGTGTAGTGGTGAGTGTACTAGTGGTGAGTGTAGTGGTGAGTGTACTAGTGGTGAGTGTAGTAGTGGTGAGTGTAGTGGCGAGTGTAGCGGCGAGTGTACTAGTGGTGAGTGTACTTGTGAGTGTACTAGTGGTGAGTGTACTAGTGGTGAGTGTACTAGTGGTGAGTGTAGTGGTGAGTGTACTAGTGGTGAGTGTACTAGTGGTGAGTGTACTAGTGGTGAGTGTACTAGTGGTGAGTGTAGTGGTGGGTGTAGTGGTGAGTGTACTAGTGGTGAGTGTAGTGGTGAGTGTAGTGGTGAGCGTACTAGTGGTGAGTGGTGGTGAGTAGTGGTGAGTGTACTAGTGGTGAGTGTAGTGGTGAGTGTACTAGTGGTGAGTGTAGTGGTGAGTGTACTAGTGGTGAGTGTAGTGGTGAGTGTACTAGTGGTGAGTGTAGTGGTGAGTAGTGGTGAGTGTACTAGTGGTGAGTGTAGTGGTGAGTGTACTAGTGGTGAGTGTAGTGGTGAGTGTACTAGTGGTGAGTGTAGTGGTGAGTGTCGCGGTCAGTGTACTAGTGGTGAGTGTACTTGTGAGTGTACTAGTGGTGAGTGTACTAGCGGTGAGTGTAGTGGTGAGTGTACTAGTGGTGAGTGTAGTGGTGAGTGTACTAGTGGTGAGTGTAGTGGTGAGTAGTGGTGAGTGTACTAGTGGTGAGTGTAGTGGTGAGTGTACTAGTGGTGAGTGTAGTGGTGAGTATACTAGTGGTGAGTGTAGTGGTGAGTGTCACGGTCAGTGTACTAGTGGTGAGTGTACTAGTGGCGAGTGTAGTAGTGGTGAGTGTAGTGGTGGTGAGTGTAGTGGTGAGTGTCGCGGTGAGTGTACTAGTGGTGAGTGTACTGGTGGTGAGTGTGCTAGTGGTGAGTGTGCTAGTGGTGAGTGTACTAGTGGTGAGTGTACTAGTGGTGAGTGTGCTAGTGGTGAGTGTACTAGTGAGTATACTAGTGGTGAGTGTAGTGGTGAGTGTACTAGTGGTGAGTGTACTAGTGGTGAGTGTACTAGTGGTGAGTGTGCTAGTGGTGAGTGTGCTAGTGGTGAGTGTGCTAGTGGTGAGTGTACTAGTGGTGAGTGTGCTAGTGGTGAGTGTACTAGTGGTGAGTGTGCTAGTGGAGAGTGTACTAGTGGTGAGTGTACTAGTGGTGAGTGTGCTAGTGGTGAGTGTACTAGTGGTGAGTGTGCTAGTGGTGAGTGTGCTAGTGGTGAGTGTAGTGGTGAGTGTACTAGTGGTGAGTGTACTAGTGGTGAGTGTACTATTGGTGAGTGTAGTGGTGAGTGTAGTGGTGAGTGTACTAGTGGCGAGTGTACTAGTGGTGAGTGTGCTAGTGGTGAGTGTAGTGGTGAGTGTAGTGGTGAGTGTAGTGGTGAGTGTACTAGTGGTGAGTGTACTAGTGGTGAGTGTACTAGTGGTGAGTGTAGTGGAGAGTGTAGTGGTGAGTGTACTAGTGGTGAGTGTAGTGGAGAGTGTCGCGGTGAGTGTACTAGTGGTGAGTGTACTAGTGGTGACTATTTGTTTCTTCCTGGTGATGGGACTTGGGATTTATAAGTGCACTGGGTGACTAATAAGGTCTGAGTTGGTCTGTTAATAAGGTTGGGGCACCGATAATTCACTGTGTAACAACATTTTTTTGTTCCTGGGTAGTAAGTGTTATTTCCTAATTGCTTATGCCTCAAAGGTACAGAAAATGGCTATTATTCCCCACAAGCTTTGCTTTTGTGACCAGGAAAGTGATATTTTGAAATCTACCTATTTTCAATGAGAAAACATGCGCATTTGTGTCTTTCATTCACAAAGTCCTGGTTACAAAAGCAAAGTTTTTGGGGAATAGCCATTTTATATACTTTTGAGGCGTAAGCAATTAAAAAATAACACTTACTACCCAGGGACGAAACTCGTGTTACATAGTGATAAGTGATTGACAGGTATGGGACCTATCAACGTGACTTTACCAAAAGACCCAAAGAATATGAATAGCTATGGAATCACCAGCGAGACGTCGTACTCGAATTGTAAATGATGCGGGGTTTTTTGTTTGTTAAATTTGCTCTCCAACTCAGCGGTTGTGCCCTGGTCGTCAACTAAAATCGGCGCGTTTCGTTTGACGTGACAACCACCGTCGTCACTAATCGTGCTGTGTCGGGTGGTGAAGGGTTCCACAGACGCATCAAATATTTGCGCGATCTCACACAAACGGGGGGGGGGGGAAAGGGAAGAAAAAAACCCGCACACCAAAATCTTGGTTCTTTCGGTAAAGTCACGTAGAAGGGAAATAATCAAATAATATAAAACAATAAAATTCTCACGACGTTTCGACTGCAACACAAGCAATCATCATCAGGTGTGAAATCATCAAAATTTGAAATTTTCTTGCTGTGGATGTCACACCTGATGATGATTGCTTGTGTTGCAGTCGAAACGTCGTGAGAATTGTATTGTTTTATATTTTTATTATTTTATTATTTCCCTTCTACGTGACTTTACCGAAAGAACCAAGAATATGAATCCCTGCAGTCACGAAAGCTTTAAATCGAATAATCTTGGTTGCAAAAGCCTCCCTACTACTGCTGCTACGTATTTAAACTTGACGCAGCAGCCGAGTCTTACTTCTAAGTTTTTTCGGTAGTCACGTAGGTAAAAAATAAATATAATAGAAATAATACGAGAAATAAAATAATAAATCATTTATAGATTTTTTCATTTATTGATTTACTATTTTATTATGAATTTTTTACCTACATGGCTTTACCGAAAAAACCTAAGGGTATGAATCCTTGCAGTCACGAAAGCTTCAAATCTAGAACTGCCGAGTTTTGTTTCTGTATAAAACTAAAATCGCTACGCAAAGGGCTCGACTTGAGCTGGCACAGGTGGCAATGACGAGGCCGCGGGCATCGCCTCAAGGATAACTCTCATCTCTCTCTCATCTCACCTCTCTCTCTCTCTGCACCACTTTCAAAGGCGATATTGAACATACCCCACCCACCCCAAACAACGCAGTCGTCTAAGCAACGATTTTGTTTAAAAACTAACAAAAGCTTTCGCTTCGTCACCGTTAAACTAGACGCACCGCTGCACGTGTTAGCACTGTACATGCCACGCACTCGCTTTCACGGAGCCCTGTAGAGTGTTTACTTTGTTTTACTGCGACACATTGACGTCCTTGTTGCTGGTGTGGTGTTGCGAGGGGAATAATTGCGTCGTTGAGTCGCGTTGAGTGTAAATTAAACGTGTACAGTGCGGGCTTAACCACCCACACATCCGTTAAGGCACGCGGGCACACAAAACGTCTCTTTGTAATAAACGAAACAAAATATCCCCCCAAAAAAAACACAAAAGCCGCCTTCAACATTCGTTAAGGCGTCGCACACAAAAACAAATCGGCAACCAAAGCTGAATGTATTTAAAAAAAAACATTTAAATATAAATCGCCTCATGCGCCGCACGCACTGTACACGCACGGCACCCGCGTTGACATTGAAACGCCGCCACGAGGAGGATTTTTTTATTTAATAAAAATTGTTAAATCTTAGAAGCGAACAACATTTCCCTCACAGTTATGTCCTACATCCTTTATTAATCAGTGAAATGCGTCTCCGAGTCGCTCACCACGACGCAGTTTCCCGCGCTGCTCTCTGCAGGGGCGTCCATGGCGGGAAAGGAATAAGAGGCGAAGGCGCCGCCTACAACTCCAGATCTCCTCCCTGCCTCCCTCTCCCTCTCTCCACGCTATCTCCTCCCTCTCCTCGCTATCTCCTCCCTCCTCTCTCTCCTCCCTCTCCACTCTATCTCCCCCCTCCCTCTCTCCTCCCTCTCCACGTTATCTTCTCCCTCCCTTCCTCGCTATCTCCTCCCTCTTCTCCCTCTCTTTTTTTACGATCAGATGCTCGGTGTATTCGGCACTTTGCCTCGTTCATCATTTCGTAATATTTTTTATTTCAATTAACATTTTTTACCTTTGCTTTATTTAAACCCCCACCTCTCGCTCACTCTCACTCACTCGCTCGCTCTCTCTCTCTTCGCTATCTCCCCCCTCTCTCTTTTTTTTACGATCAGTGGAAACAAGAAGATGCTCTGTGTAGTCGGCACTTTGCTTCGTTCATCATTTCGTAATTTTTTAAAAATAATAACTTGGCTTTATGTAAACCCCCACCTCTCGCTCTCTCACTCTCTCGCTCTCTCTTGCTCTGCACGCAGCCCTTCTCGCAGTCCGACGGCCTCCGACGGGTAGCTCACAACTGCATGCAGAGCTCCCCGTCATCTGCCACCGAGCACACGGCCTCCTCCATCGCCCACTGCTCCTTGAAGGCCGGCACGGCGTGGGTCAGCCGCGCCGCATGGCGGAACTCCAGCCCACACATCCTGGGGCTCCGACCAGAGCGCGGAAGATGCCCCCAGGCTGCTGGCCGGACGTTTCCCCTCCAGGGCCACCTTCCCCGCCCTGTAAATGGCGAGCTTGCCGTAGCCCACGAGTACGTTGACCAGCCCCTGAAGATGTTGGGGTCCGTCGCCCTTTGGGTATCCAAAAATGAGGACCGTCGGGGAGAAGTGGAGGCTGAACCTTAGGAGGATGTTTCTCAGGACCGAGTCCAGGCTCTTGCACTCCACGTATTGGTGCGCCACCGTCTCCACTTTACCGCAGAACCGGCACTCCGGGGACGTGTCGGTAAAGCGCGCCAGGGAGGCGTTGGTGGTGACGGTGCCGTGGGCGATGCTCCGGCTGAGGTCACCGATGCGGTTGTACGTCGCGCTGGAGTAGAGTTGCCTCCAGCGAGGCCTCTCCGGAGAGACAGGCGCCGCCTAGCTAGTTAGCACGTCAGAGTCTCGTTCGTTATCGGAATGAACCAGACAAATCGCTCCACCAACTACGAACGGCCATGCACCTCCCTCCCTCTCTCTCCTCGCTATCTCCTCCCTCTCCTCGCTCTCTTTTTGCCTTCTCTTTTTTTACCATCAGAGGAAACAAGAAGATGCTCGGTGTAGTAGGCACTTTGCTTCGTTCATCATTTCGTTTTTTTTTTCAATGCTTTGCATTATGTGCCCCCCCCCCCTTTTTTTAATGAAATATTTCACAAAATATTTCACGCTCTGCTCTCCTCCTTCTTACACCTTCCCTCTCTCTCTACCCCCTCTCCCGCTCTCTCTTCCCTCTCTCCTCACTCTCTCCTCCGCTCTCTCTTCAAATGTACAAGTCTCCCGTAGCCAAATGCTGCGGTGACCTCCAGTGGAGGTTGGCACACTGCACGTTGCCATCGGCCGTGTGGCTTGGCCGAATCTCGCCAGGGGTAACAGACTTGTGCATTTCCTGCGGTGCCAGGGAGGATCTGCCCCACCAGTACTTACACTGCCAGCGGCTCAAGCCAATGTTCCGCCTTTTGGGGGACATCTTCAGGAAACTGGGGGTGTCCTTCTACAACAGCAGCTTCGTATATGGGGTGGTGCCTTACCTGGCTAACAAGCGCCATGACTGAGCACAGGCGAAGTTGGCGGTGTACAGAACGAGAAAAAGATGCTGGGGGGTGACACTGACGGCTGCTCTGTGCACCAGTGTTCAGGGGCCTGCTTAAGGCGCGGTTCCGGCTGTAGTACGCGTACCACACACATGTCGGTGATGTGCACGTATTTTTCGAACGCTGGGGAGCCGGACAAGCCCCTCTCTGTACCAGCGTGGACGGCACCCTCGTGTTCACCTTCTGAAGCGCTCGCTCGTCACCGTGGCGTGCGCGATGACCACCACCACCACTACCACGTGGCTTTTCTTTCGTGTTGTGCGCGCTACATTTAGCACCACAGTGTGTGGATTTATAGCGAGTATTTGTTTGCTGGTGACTGTATTTCATATCGGAATCGCCTCCAGTGCTGTTGCTGCTGGTGGCAATAAAAGTTGTTTAAAAGTCAAAAGTCTCCTCCCTTCCCCCCCGTACTCTCCTCACTCTCTCCCCACTCTCTCTTCCCTCTCCTCACTCTTTCCCACTCACGTCTTCTCCCTGTCCGAGAGGACGTCAGAATGCCAGTTACAGGAGACTCGTCGACTCTCGCCACGTGCAAGGAGACACAGATTCCACACAACACCCACAGTCTCTATATATCTCTCTCTCTATGCGACCTTTGCCCAGTATCAAAGTATGAAAAATAACGAGGTATTTCGCCTTATTGGCAATAAAACGGGAGTTGAGTTAATCAGAATCAGAAACGGTTTTAATCGCCATGTAAGTTTGCACAAACAAGGAATTCACTATGGCGGGACGGTGCATACATTGAACAAGTAGGAATCTTAACTTATATAAAAGGTATACACTCTAACTATACTAACATTACAAAGTATAAGTAATACCAAAGGGCTAAAATCTTTAAAATTATGAATAAGTAGACCTTATAAAATGCGAATGTAAAATGTTAATTAGCCGTATTAAACAATCTTAAAATCCAAAAATACAAATAAGATTACACGTTGTAAGTATGGAAAGGTGTAATTATGTAGATAAAATGTTATAGTAAGTGTAACAGTCATTTTAAGTGTAAAAGTCATTTTAAGCCCTTGGCCTTGTTGAGGAGGCCAACAGCAGATGGGAAAAAAACTGTTTTTATGACGTGAGGTTTTGGTCTTGATGGACCGCAGCCTTCTGCCGGAGGGGAGTAGCTGGAACAGAGAGTATCCAGGGTGCGAGGAATCGTCCGCAATCTTCCTCGCTCGCTTCAGGGTCCTCAAAGTGTGCAGGTCCTCAAGGGTTGGTAGATTACAGCCAATCACCTTCTCAGCAGTGCGGATGATACGCTGCAGTCTGCTCTTGTCCTTGGCAGTTGCAGCAGCGTACCAGACGGTGATGGAGGAGGTGAGGATGGACTGAATGATAGCTGTATAGAAGCACACCATCATTGTCTTTGGCAGATTAAATTTCTTCAGCTGCCGTAGGAAGTACATTCTCTGTTGAGCTCTCTTGATAAGGGAGCTGATGTTCAGTTCCCACTTGAGGTCCTGGGAAAGAATAGTGCCCAGGAAGCGGAAGGACTCAACATTGGTGACTGGGGAGTCGCACAGGATGATGGGGGTGAGTGGGGCTGTATTCTTCCTGAAGTCCACAACCATCTCCACGGTCTTAAGAGCATTAAGCTCCAGGTTGTTCTGGCTACACCAGGTCACCAGGTTGTCAGCTTCCCTCCTATAGTCAGACTCATCCCCATCAGAGATTAGCCCAATGAGGGTGGTGTCGTCCGCAAACTTCAAGAGTTTGACAGACTGGTGACTGGAGGTGCAGCTGTTGGTGTACAGGGTGAATAGCAGAGGGGAAAGGACGCAGCCCTGAGGAGATCCGGTGCTGATTGACCTGGCGGCAGAAACTTGTGATCCCAGTTTGACACACTGCTTCCTGTCAGACAGGAAGTCTGTGATCCATCTGCAGGTGGAGTCTGGTACGTTCAGCAGGGAGAGCTTGTCCTGAAGCAGGCTAGGAATGATGGTGTTAAAAGCCGAGCTAAAGTCCACAAACAGGATCCTGGCGTAGGATGCTGTGGAGTCCAGATGCTGTAGGGTGAAGTGGAGGGCCATGTTAACTGCGTCATCCACAGACGTTCAAGCACCAGAGAGATGCCTTTTGCAAGGCATCAGGTCTGCATTCACCACACCACACAGTACTTGTGGGGAGAAAACATACAAACGTGGTCTGATAATTATTATTAAACACCGCGCAGTGTTAGACATTTGGCGTTAGTCTCTGGTCTGACACTGGTGGTTGAGACGAGGCCATAAAGAAGGCTGCATCTGGTGTGGGCCAATCAGTTTCAAAGACGACGCGTATACGTGTTGTTCATTATCAGAGCACTTCTGTTTGCATGTTTCGCCATAAGCACTGTGTGTGTGGTTAATCCACAACTCCTGTTTTTTTACACGGTTTTATTTAACTCACTCTGTTGTTGTTGTATCCTCAAATCTTGTAACTCAATTTTAACCCACTTTCCAATGTGGTATCGACTGCAAATTTGGTCTACTTATGTCATACTGATGGCAATACTATATTCTATCATTAAAAAAAATATTTTTAAACATTCTTTATTATATGTTATGTTTCGGCTTGGGTCTAATTGTCCACGGTCAACTGACGTTGGCTGTAATTGGCCACGGTCCCTTATGTTATGGAAAGCTTCGGGGCCACTTCCTGGAGTCGTGGAGTTCTTCCATTACTGGTACATTTCATAAAAGCGTGTTTTTAATTTTTTTATATTACTTATTTGTTGCCAGAAGAGGTAAACACCGATTCCACATATGATAGCCCAATGAACAGACCGGTTAGGGGACAAGTGCTGTTAGCGAGCGCCCATCGCACCAAATTCCTACCGAGTAAAACGAAGCAAACGTTTGGTGCTCGACGTCTAGCGATGACCCCAATGTTTGACCCTCGACATTCCACGGCTACCGGGCAAACTCCACCTTGTGGGGGAGGAGGAGGGGGGGGAACGGAGCCTTGTCACGACAATCAATTACTCAAACTTTATTTATAAAGCACTATTCGTGCAAAACTATTTCAATGCATAGTGCTTTACAGGCATGAACAATACAAGTGAAATTGTACGCAAAATAAAATCACGTAACACATTTCTAGCAAAGTCATGTTAAAAAATAACACGTGACGAAAATTCTAATTAAAATCTAGTTTAAAAAAAGTAAATTTAATTTTAAAAGTGCTTAATGATTCTGAAGCCCTCGTATCCCCTGGCAGGCTGTTCCACAGGCAACGACCCGATAAACTGAAA